GTGGGGGCCTGCTTATGCCTGCCCCGGCCGGTCCTGTGTGGGCTGCAAGCGGCTGCAGCATGGAGCGCCAGCCATGGGGCAGGGGAGGGGCTGCTTTTCCCCATGCTCAGTACCAGCTCCTTCCCTGCCAGGGAGCAGGGGCCGCACACTGTCCCCCGCCTGTACCTCAGGGCTGGGGTACACTGGGAGTGAGCAGCTGCATGGGGCCCACGCAGGTGTCTTGGGGCCAGTGCTGCGAAGCCCAGAGCAGGGTGGCAGGAGTACTGGGTCCTGGCCAGCAGGGGCTCTATGGAGCTGGGCAAGGTACCTCCTCCCTTCTGGTGCAGCCCAGCCCAGCTTCACAGACCGCTGCCAGCCTGAACCCTGCTCTAGGCCCCACTGGTGCTGGTCCTGGGATATTGGTCCCAAGATGGTGACCAGGGGGTGGGGCACCTGTCAAGGGGCGGGCTAATCATGCGGCCTTCTCTGTTCTAGTTTGACCATCTGTATCATGCAGGCTGTTAGACTTCTTAAATAATTAAATAGCTGTGGGTGAATTACTGAATACCTTTTAGAAAAATATCTGACCTTTCAAAGGTCAGATGATCCCGTTTGGGGGAGACCTTGTTTCCCCTAGCGCCCCCCGGGATAACAAGGAATAACGGCCACAAGTTGTTGGAGAGTAGGTTTAGATTAGACATCCATAGGAACTACTTCACAGTTAGGGTGGCTAGGACCTGGAACCAACTTCCAAGGGAAGTGGTGCTGGCTCCTACCCCGGGGGTCTTTAAGAAGCAACTCGATGCCTACCTGGCTGGGGTCACTTGAGCCCAGTTTTCCCCCCTGCCCAGGCAGGGGGTCAGACTTGAAGATCTACAAGGTCCCTTCCGACCCTACTTCTATGATTCTATGATACGATTCTATGAAGGTGTGTATGTATGTAAGTTGTATTGATCACTGTTTTAAAAAAGTGTACCTTATTTTTCACTCTGAATTTGACCAGTTCTAGTTTTCAGCCATTGGATCTAATTGTATCTTTGCTAATTAAAGTTCTCTCTTATCACATTTTTCATCCGTAAGCAGCAAGTTGGAGACTGTGATTGGTATCCCTTAACTTTCTCCTTGATTGGAAACAGATATCATCTTTGAAAATGATCAACTGGGTCTGATCTTGTAGGACAGGGACAGGCAATTATTTTGGGCAGAGGGCCACTTAGCCAGCCTTGGCAAGCTGTCTAGGGCTGCATGGGTAGCCCCGCCCCTTGACAGGTGCCCTGCCCCCCTGGTCACCATCTTGGGACCACTGTCCCAATGTCTCGGGGCCAGCACTGGCGGGGCCCAGAGCAGGGTGCAGGATGACAGGGGTCTGCGGAGCCGGGCTGGGCTGCACCAGCAGGGAGACGGGGGAGCTGGCCCAGCTCCATAGAGCCCCTGCCGGCCGGGACCCTGTACTCCTTTTGCCCTGCTCTGGGCCCTGCCGGTGCTGGCTCCAGGACCCATCAGTGTGGGCTCCAGGTTCCTGCTCACTCCCGGTGCCTCCCAGCCCTGCAGTACAGGCGAGGGGGCAGCGTGCAGCCCCAACCCCCTGCTCCCCGGCAGGGGACGAGCTGGTGCTGAGCGTGGGGAAAAGTGGCCCCTCACCTGCCCTGTGCTTGTAGCACAGGACACCAACTGCTCACAGCCTGTGTGGGGCTGCCTGTGCCTGCTCAGGACACCCCCATGTGGGCTACAGTTGGCTGCAGCAGGGAGCGCGGGCCATGGGGCGGGCGAGGGGCCGCTTTTTCCCCGCACTCAGCTTTTCCCCAGGGTCCTCCCCCCTCCTCCCCCTTACCTGAGGTTCTGGTGCCAGGGCAGCCACATGGTCCCAGGCCAGAAACCCCGGCTGGGGCTTCCGGCTGGTGGGGCTGGGTGGGCCCTGCTGTTGCAGGAGCCCACTGGGCTTCCCCTGGTTTCTATCATTTTTGACAGGAACCAAGGACAGATCAATATTAATTTTCTACACTTTTTAGGGGCCCCATGGGCTGGATAGAATGGCCTCGTGGGCCGTATTCTGCCGGCCCCTGTTGTAGGAAAACAGCCCTGGTACTGTTCTGACTTAGGGCTCATGTCTGCAAGTAGGTGAAACCTCCTGCTTGCAAAGACTCTCCCCATTTTGAGGGCACAAGGAAATCCCCTGGCCTGTCTGTAAGGACAGAGTTGGGGATGTGCCTTCTGGGTTTGTCTTATGAGTTATGTGCAGGTATTTGCACACCTAGCTGTGCTAATATTATGTGGCACCTTTAAAATGTTCTCATGCCACCCCAGGGTGCCATGGCATTTTGGTTGAGATTCACTGTTGAGATACGTACAGTATCTTTCTGTGATGTCATTCCCTCACAGTCTTTGTATTAGATACAACTCTAGAACATACTGATAGAGGCTGTGTCCAGTAGCTTTCACCTGTTTTAAAAGGGGAGCAGAAGTTTTACATTTGTTATGACACAAGTTTTTATATCTTTAAGCTCCTATAGGAATCTGTGGGAGCCAAACCCCCGTAACTTGGGCCTTGAATATATGGCTAAAGTACTTAATAGTTTTGTTCCCTCCTAATCTTATAGGAGCATGCAAATGTAACATCTTAGGGTATCATGCTATGTTGCATGGGCGGCCATGTCACAAGGAGGACAGGGCTCTGTTGCATGCAGCAGATTAAGAGGGAATAGACAGCACAGTGGCAGATGGGGCAGGGTGTGTAAAGCAGGGGAAGGGGATCACAGTAGCACTCGGAGGGCTTAATTTGTGGCATGCCTGCCAAAAAGGTCGGCCCCCATTGCCATGCTCATATACTTATTTCATCTCTATACCTAGCGGAAACAACAGAAATGTTGTGATCTAGGTAAGGGGAAGTGCGAATGAAGGTTCCATAAATAAGCTGTGGATGTGAGTTATGTACCAAACTGAAGGCTACACTGTCAGGAGCAAATGTCAGAAACCTGAATAAATACCTTAATTGGCAAACTGCAAGAAGTAGTAGCTGCCAGGATGAAAACTCCAATTTAATTAAGCATTGCAGCCTCTGGAACTGATTCTTTCTGACTGGATGTACTCATTTGGATAATGTCTTCTACCATACCCACTTGTGCCTTTGGACTCTAAGCTCCTTAGGGTAGTCATTATATCCTTTGACACATTGATAATGCAACCCTTAAAATTTATGGTATTTTAAATCGCGTGTTAAAACGAAATGTGGAAAATTATGCTTGGGGAATACAGATACACTTGTCTAACTAAGTGTTAGATTCTGTCTTCAGATGACTATCCATGTTTGTGCTTGAAGTTTTAAATTCCTTCAGGTTGCCAGGAAGAAAAGGAGAAGCTTGGGAGAAGCTAAGTAGTGCTTACTTAAGGCTTGGGAGAGAACAAGAGAAGCCTGTTGAAAGTGGAAATAGACATTTCCAAGTGAAAGGGTGTTTTAGTAGAGGAAGAAGAAGGTGCCTTCCGTCCCTCAGAAAGCAGCTGGTGATTTGGGAAGATTTTTATATGAAAAACATAGGATGATTTTATTTAATATCTGCCCTTATTGGGTTACATAACCAAACTTTTAGTTTTTAATCGAGGTCTTCAAAAGGCTTGACTTAACAGTCCCATCTTGATTTTTGCATGTGTAGCTGACGGAATTCAAAGTCTTTGATTGTCTTAATTCTCAAAATCTTTTCCTATTACACAGTTGATCCTGGAGATCTTTGCACAGTAGTGGTGATCAGTAATTTATAATGCTTAATTCTTGTGTTTATGTAGTCCCTATGTTGTCAAGTACTATGGCAGCTACTTTAAGAACACAGATCTCTGGATTGTTATGGAATATTGCGGAGCTGGCTCTGTCTCGGACATAATTAGATTACGGAATAAAACAGTAAGTTCTTTTTTTCTAAATGTATACATTATTGTTTAAATTCATTCTAATGTTGTTTTTATTCTATTACTTGCTTTGCATAAACTTGAAGGGATTAAAAAAAAATTGTCCTCAATAGTATACATTCTTAAATTCCATTGAGATGAATGGGAATTGAAAGTTGGGATTACTTCTCTAGAACTGGGCCCCAAATGCTACAGTATGATATTTATGTAGCCACACAAGTGCTGTATATTCACTTGATGTCTCAAATTGTAAAATATTTGGGGGAGGATGGTTATTCGGTAGCTCTACATATCTGAATAAGACAGTGCTCAAACCTTTTAGTTCTGAATTGTGAATTCTTTTCTTCACTAACTAAAAGTTTGTAACTTTTTCACCTCTCAATTGCCATCACAATGGTATCTCTCAGTTATTGTATAATTGTGTAGAAGTTAGGGGGGCTTGGCTCTCTTTTGTCACTGATTTTTTTCTTCCCCCAAAAAACATTTCAGCATTTTGTTTTGACTTCTCCCCGCCCTATATATAATGAAACTTAATTCCCCATTCTTTCCATTATTTATGAAACTTCTAGATCTATAAACTATACCATGCAACCTCCCTTCTCTTTAATATGAAAGCTGATTGCAGTTCTTTTTGTCCTTGTACCTACGTACCATGTTTATATTAAAGTAGTTAAATTAGATTTGCAAAGAGGTTTCATAAGTGAAATTCATTCCTAAAACGTTGAGTTTGTGAAAATACTCCCAGAGTCCAGCCATAAGCCACTTTCAGTAGTTCAGGCTTTTCCTGGAAAGCATCTGTACTTAGGTTTTTTTTTTGTTTTTTTGTTTTTATTGGTTACAGTTTAAATAAATGCTGTCCAGACTTCCTGCCTTCTTACAGTTTCATCAGTTTGTAATGGGAGACCAGGACTGAAATTTTTCACTGTTTGCACATGTGTTATACATGTTGTATTGATTCTTGTACATCTTTCTAGTTTAAAAATGAAGTTCTTTTCTCTCGTACATCTTATAAGTAGAACAGAAGGAGTTGCTCTTATTTGCCTCAATAACTGTATTTTAAAATACGTGCCCTTAAAATTATAGTCTGTCCTTTCCAACCTCACTTGTTCTCCCTGGCAAATCATTTCAGGCTGTTTTGAAAGACATTTAGCTAGTTTAATAAACCTATACATAATTTTAATTCTGTTTCCACTAAAATCAGTTTTAACTGTTTATGCTGTAAACCTAAATGAGAAAGCTATTTACCTTAGTAACCCAAGGCAAGCTGTGCATCCCATTAGTGGTTGCCATAATTTATAAGAAAGGAACTACTTTATTTTTTTTTTCTGTAATGACTGAGGAACAGCAAGACAACTTATACTCTTGATTTTGTGGAACAGTAACTTGATTGCTGTATGACTTTATTACATGATGGAAAACTTCTGACTATATGTTACTAGAATAAGTCTGCTTAAATACTTCAATACTTTGTGGTTCACCTAAAATAAAGTTTGTTTGTGGAAACAATAAGTTGGAAACTTGCTTCACTATATTTCTGTTTTCCACAAGGAAGAATAAACTACTTCATTTAAAGTAAAGCAGGAGTTAATTCTTATTTTGACAGAATACATATTAAATGGCCACTGATATTCATTGTTATAGATATTAGATTTTACCTAAATCATCAGAAAAGCATACAGAATGGAGATGGTTTGGGGAAAAATATCCAATTGGAGGTAAGAGGTAGATAAAAGTACAAATGTAGCAGTTTTTCAGTATTTGATGTCATTACCTCCTCAAACTAAAGAAATATCTGGCAAATGGAGGTAAATGCTGTGACTACAATCAACTTTCCTATTTTAAAATTAGATGAGGAAAAGGATAGAAAGCTTTCCACCCATATTTATTTTGTAAAAGGGGAGAGAAAAATCTCTGAGCATCAATTCTTTGCTCTTTGTGCCTCCCATGGAACTTAGAAATGCACCATGCAATTTGCCAGCCTCTTCTGACCCTCAGCTCATCTCCCCCTTGCCAAAAAACAGAGAGGGGAGAATATGGCTTTGCAGTATGCCCAGAAAGCTAATGTATCTGGGTGCTGTTCCAATAGGCCAGAAACAGATTCTAAATCTGAGAACCCATTCAACTGCTGTGGCCTGCTCCTTTTTTGCATCAGAGGGCTTCATTTGATACAATAGGTCCTTAACCCAAAAAGCAAAAGTTTTTACTGGAGCCAGTACAGATTCAAGAGCCCAGATGTAACGTGCTTTTAAATGTAGCTTCAAATGATAGTCACAGTTCACCTTATGAGCTCACAAAGTGTCATGTACAGCATATTACTCTGAGGTGAAAAAGTACTATATAAAAGCTTTGTAGCTGAGAGATAAAAAGAATGCACTCTTTATTTCCTCTCCCCGACCCCTCCCCAAATGCTGTTGAAGAGGCATGCATGATTGCAATCAACAATTGTACGTCCAGAATCTAATAAGACATGGAGGTTGAATGCTTCTATTACCTGTACCAGTGTAATTTTTTTTCAGCACAACAATAGTATCTCTGTCCTGTCTAGATTATTTTATGGCCTGCTAGCTTTCATCTAAGCCCAAAGTTCATCTAGTTACCAGGTAACTTGTTTGACTGTTTTCTTGAGTCAGATGTGGTCGTGATGATGATGATGAGAATCATCATATTGATTTACACTGCTGTCTGTCCTCTCAGTAACCCTCCTGGCAGTTTAGAACAATAATAGTAACAACCCAGACCCTTTGTGTACTTTGCAGTAAAGACAGCTTTGGGCTGAGGAACCTGCAATTGATGTCTGGGTTCTTTTTGAAAGAGAAGAATAGAGTCACTTAAGAGGGACTGCTGCTGTGGTTTACGAGAGAATTAATGACATCAAAGGCTGCAGAATAAGCTTAAAAGTTGAGCAGTTTCACCTGCCTAGTAACATGAAAATTCCCCAGTGAAGGAAACCCAGTGTAACTGAAATGAGACTGCTTGAGTTGATCAAGCGAACACCGCCTGATCATCAGCACTGCTGGTTATTGCAGGTTCTGTGGGTGGAGACTGCTGGAGAAAAAACAGGATCCCTGCAAACCGGATCCCTGTTAATAACAAACCTCTCCTTTCTTGCATGGGCTTGCTCTACCGTTGACTAGATTACCTATTCTACTGCACTACTTTATGAGGGCTCCTGAGAATTCCTTTTCACTTCTAATTTACCTGTACCTTTCCTCTAAGCAGACTGTTTGTATTTACATGGAATCTTTTCTCTGCTATTTTAATTCAGCATGTCTGCCTTTTTCTTAGACCCGAGGAAGGCCCTTGATGCCCAAATTTGTCCAACACCTCTCCCAACTACACAGTTAGTTCAGTAGCAGATATAATGAATCCTTTTCTTACCTGTTTTCTGGATCATCAGAGCTACAACAGCACTCCAACTATTATTTTTCAGTATATCAAAAGTGAAATACGCTTTTGAAATGGGGTGCTGCTAAATTAAGAAAAATTATGGGTTGGTACTTTTCATCTTAGAAGGTAGAGAACTACTGGAGTAGGGGTCAAAGCAAATAAAGTATGTTAGTCCTAAGTTAAATGACGTCCCTTAACGCATGATCTTTTTTTATAATTAAAAAAAAAAAAAGTGATTGAAGATTTCTGTGGACAAATTCATACAACTTTCTGTTTAAAAAAAACTGCAGCATTTTAAACAGATTCTATAGCAATCTAGAGAACTACATGTTGTTTGTAGAAACAGTTTCTAATTTGTCCGATGGAAAACCTTCCTTTGTTATGGGAGGCAGCACTAGTACATTTTCTCAATCATGTATATCTAATAGCTATAGATTTTGATTTATAGTTTAATATTAAAATGTTATAAAGCTATAGATTTATTTAAAAGTACCCAAATAGCTTCATTGTATCCATGGATTTGAGTTTTATCAGATGTTCTTTTTGAAGTCTGTCAGTCTGTCTTTGCTGATGGACTTAGTTCTTATTTTTTTGGAGCGAGTGAGCTATTTTAAAGAGTAATTATGTCCTGCAGGCGTTTTTTTTTTCCTATCTTATTTTGTGACACTAATGTGAATTGGTGTTTCGTTTTAGCTTCACCTGAATAAATCTTGGAAACACTTTTAAATGTTTCCTATTATGGGAACAGAATGTTCTGAAATCAGCTAATTATGGAAAACCAACTTTGACCTAAGGAAGAGATCTATTCAGATGTCTTTGAATCAGGAATGAGTTGGACATGGCATATTAAAAGCTAGGTTAAGTGTTTTCAAATTGTTCCTTAACCAGAGCCAGTTGGAGTTACCCTGTTGTTCAACAGTCCTTTTGATGATGTATTAATACATCATGTATGCACCTTTAAAAATCTTCTTTTAAGTAAGTGCTTTATTTTTAGCCTTAATAGGTACAAAATGCCAGAACTAAGGCTGCCTGCCTAACTTAAATCCCCCTTCCTTGTATCATGAAGCACACGCACATAAATTTTGTTTTAAGATGCGTTACCAGATCACCTATCTTTCTTGCTCCTCTCCTCACGCTTGCTTCAGCAAATTTTTAATGCTCATGGTATGATCAGCTATTTCATATTTTACCTCTTCCTTATTGGGCAGGCAAGGTGCAGTGTCATAAACTGAACAGTATTCAAGCCTTGCTCTGAAAATAGACTTATTAATTTTTCTCACAAACTGCTTTTCATTTATAGCATATGGGCTCTTCACAGAAATTAAGATAAATTCATTAATAGATTCCTTGTAGCATGAATTGTTGCATTTATCCCCAGCTGATAAATGAGCAGCTGAGGCTCTTGGAGATGGTGGCTGCTTGCAGATGCATGTGTACACGCACAGAAGGTGGTTCTTTACTTTAAACTTGGCCCAGTACATGCCCAGAAGACAGTGCATTAGTTGTACCTGGCTCCCCTGACATCCTGTATAAATTTGGTGCTTTAGTAGGGCTTTTTTGATGCTTTTATCTAATATCTGATTGAATCAGCTTTAGCTAAAAGCACCA